ATGCAACAAAATAATATAAATAACCAGGGCAAATTAATCAGTCAATGAGTGTGTGTGTGTGTGTGTGTGTGTGTGTGTGTGTGTGTGTGTGTGTGTGTGTGTGTGTGAGGAGGCATAAGCACATACAGTGAGCAGCAGCAGAAGCTACCCACCGTACGACACCGGCACACCATTAAGGATGGAAACAGAGGCGGGTACGGAGCACCTGCCACAGCAAGAGAACCCACCATCTGCAGTCACTTTGACTTAACCAGTGGACTGCACTATAAGCCGATTGGCTGTTGAAACAGGTGATGTGCTTTACATTCTAAAAACAGCTGCCAGTGATTTGACGAGATGAGTTGCAGATGACACACAGCCAGCTTGAGTCAAGCTCAGACCGACCAGTTCACACCACTGCATCTTACAACGATCTACAATAGTTTCTTCTTGTCGCAAATCTTTGGTATGACCTGGGCCTTAGACCTCAACTAGGATCTCCCCTAAATTTATAATGATTAATTAAATCTCTTCTCTCTCTTCTCTGGTGCTTCCTAAACTCTCAAATGTCTTGATCTATTAAATCCTTTTAATTGTTAAACTTCAAAGATTTCAGTCACTGACTCTACCTGACTAACACCATGGGGCGCTTTCATTTAGAAATTGCTCATCGCTGAATCAATTGTGCTCACTCATATTTCTCTTCATTTATTCATTTCTTTGTCTTTCTAGTTCTTTGTTATGTAGTAGTAGTTTAATAAGCATTTCATTTATGAAGAACTTGATCCTGTGATTTGTGTGTGAATAATTATTAAGTCACTGTACTCTAGGCTAAGAACTCATCCAAAGCAGCTCTGCAATTAACTGATTAACTGATCAACTGATCAATTTTTCCCTGTAACATAAACTAACTGTCTCTGCTTGCTTAAAGGGCCAGAGTGTAAAATGGGTTGAAAACAGTGACATCAGTGATCAAATTCTAAATTGCAGGGCTCACTCACTCACGCCTCCCGTTGGGTAAATGACGGTGGCCTCGTAGGACCAAAAGCCTTGCGCAGACACAGGTTTTTCAGGAGTAGGTCTATCTAGCGACGAGGTGAATATTTATTTAGAAATCTAAACCATGTTACGATATTGTAATGAATCACTCACGAGCAGGAGACCAGAGTAGCGTTCGGGAAAAGGGCCCATTTATTTTAGCACTCCAAAAACTCCGGTTACACTCCAGGGGGTAAAAGACTCCGTCCCAAACTCTGACTCTTCTAGCGTAACACACACACTTCATACACACATACTCACTTACAGTACCCAGCGGGGCAGCCCTCCCCTCTCTGCTCCACCAATCTCCAGCCCGCACACTGACTGACAGCTTACCACACTCACCACTGCAGTAAATGTTCTGTTATATTGTCAGTGTTTTCTGAGTTAATGGCATGTTTGGGATTGAATGAGTATAGGTAGGGGGCGGGGTGCAAGTGTGACGGGGACGAGAGCTTTGTGAGTGCGCTTGCTGGTGTGTGTATGAGTGAGCTGGAGGAGAGAGCAGCAGTACACAGTTGGAGTTACAGCTAAATTCTTGTTTGTTGGTTTTTTTGGAGTGGTTATGGCCAACAGTAACCTGTACTGTTCAGTAATAAACAGTGGTTTTAGCTGTACTGAATCCAATCAGCAGGGTACATAGGAGTAACGTTACTGTTACTATTGTCTGTTATTGACATAAGACTAAAATTTTCAGTACGTCCTGCGCTGTGATCTGTGGAGGGATACACCGGTGAGCAGGCACAGACGTAGCCTGTAAACAAAACTCAGCTGTTTATTTAGCCTAGCAATATCTCCGGACTATAGTAGCTGCAATGGACGACTTTGAACGCGATTTTGAAGAGTTTCTTGTAGTGGACACAGATCCGGAGCCGTACCTGTTTGAGTCGGAGCACACAGATGAGGAACTCCATGTGTTGGATGCTGAGTGGGCAAGAAGAGAGGCTGAATCCTCTGCTCCCATTTTGCTGCACAGAATGGGATTCGGTGCTATATCGTTGGGGAGATATATCATCAGGAGGAAAAGCACCGCAGAGAGTGCATCACAAGGGCCAATAAAAATTAACATTGTAATTACTTCAAAGACTTTTATTATTGCAACAGAGCAAACAATATTAGGCTAGAGTAGGGCATTAACGACTTTGATTTTTTTCAGGTCGACTTATCTGTCAATAAAGTCGAAGTCGAGTCGACAAGTCATTTGATGACGTCATCACATTGACACGGCGGAGGAAAGTGAAGTATCTCCACACATGTGATGTGTGTCTGTCAAGGCCCGAACATACTCGGGTGGAACGTATGCGGAACGGACTCTGCGGAGGTCTGCGCGGACTCAAAGCGGACGTCTGCAAGCCCTGTGCGCGCAAAGCTCAGATTTTACAACCGCGCGGACTCCGCTCCGCGCACCAGTGACTGCTCGGCATGTATTTTTAACATCGCGGGGATTTTTCACCGACATTTTTACAGGAAACTATAATGCGGAAGTGCGCTCGACTATGAAAGCCCGAATGTCTGGAGTCTTATAGTATGTTCACTTAGGATAAAGTATCAGTGTAAGCCAATCGGAGGCAGCGATTGCATTCCGTACACAAGCACACAGAGAGAGAGAGAGAGGGAAAAAACACGACTTGTCGACTCCTCCCGGGGGGGTGTCGACTTGTGCCACTGACGTCGACATGTCGACAAATCGATTTTTCTGTTAATGCCCTAGGCTAGAGTAATTTTTACATTAGAAATGTGACCACATTCGAAAGTAGCCTATAATCTTTTAATTGTTTAAGCCAAGAAAATGTGCCTATATGAAAAGCGAATGAGCACGAACGGCTGGACATAATTTAAATGTTAATACAATAACTTAAAGTTTGGCACGGGTTGGGTGTGGGTGCGGGTCTCTAAATTTTAGAAGATAATTACATTGGGTGGGTGACGGGTGGATGATTGATGAGTGCATGAGGATTCGGGTGCGCTCAAACGCCATCCGCACATCTCTAGTATGTATGTATGTGTATTTTGGTCATTGCCATCTTGACTTTTTGGAGCCAGAAGTGACCATATTTGTGGGAAAGGGCGAAGGGGTGGATTTGACTGAAAAGTCGAGGACACTATTCGCAGACAGCCTGTCAAAATGGCCTGCCCTTACATAACTAAATAACTTTATGCCTTAATGAAATGAGCAGATGAGTTATAAAAAATACCCTCTCCATACAGTATGGGAGACCGGGTATGGTTGTAACATGGGTTAGTTGCAACACTTTAAATTTATCCAATCAGGAACAAGTTACAAATCATCTGATCCACTCTGTGCATGCTCAGTTTAGTCCTTACTCCACATGTGAGGAAGTAGCACCTTGTGGCAAACACAGCTAATTTTAGAGGGAAAAAAGTCATTTTGAGGTAAGAAAGTATTTTTTTTCCGCTTCATTTCTTTTTGTAATAGCATTGCCTCCTTTGTACATAAACTCATCAAACTTAAATCATGTTAATTATGTGTTTGTGTAGATATTTTCCATGCAAATTGTTAGCGATAATGTTTTAGTTGTTGGTCTGTAAGACAAGTGAGTTCATGGCTACAACAGTCTGGGTCAGTTGTAACAACATCAGTATGGGTCAAGAAACAAGACAAATCAACTCCCACAAACCAACAACGACCCAGGCTGTCAAAGAAAACATCAGGAAAGAAAAAACAGAAAATGCATAACATCGTGCTACAAAACACAGATTCCTCAGATGATGATGACACTTTTTGCATTGTGTGCATGGAACACTTCAAAAACTCAAAACCAAAAGAAGTTTGGGTTCAGTGTACAGCCTGTAGTCTGTGGGCCCACGAAGCCTGCTCTCCAGGACTGAGGGCCATATATTTGTCACCACTGTGACTCTGATGGTGATAGTGACAAAAATACTTGGCGCGCGCACACACACACACACACACACACACTCGCACACACACGTACACACACACTAATGTTCACTTGTTGATTCTGTTGCATATTTGTGCATTTTGTTGTTTTATAGCTGTGTATAAATGCTAGCGTAAGACACACAGAGAGACAGATGTTCAAGTGAAGCTGGAGCATATTTGCAGAATTTGTTTAGTTTTAATATTATGTTCAAATATTAGTGTAACACATGCGCACACACACACGCGCACACACACACACACACACACACACACCAATTATGTAAGTGTTAAATACAAAGTTTTCAGTATCTTAAGTTCTTGTCATACCCTCTTTTCATAATGTTACATTTCACCCCATGTTCCATTACAACTAACCCAGACTATGGGGTAGATTGTAACATTTCACTCCTTGTGTTTGAGACTAAACCATGGATTTTCTGTTTGTGTTGCAGAGTCAACAACTACACCATTTAATACCTGACACATGTAACTAGTTTGTATCACATTTTGAATGCACTGGCTTAAAAGAGACCTGAGTTACAGACAGAAATGTCAAAAATGTAACAACCATCCCCGGTCTCCCCTAGTCATGAAGGGGAAAATCAACCATAGAGACCCAAACTGTTTTTTGTACCAGGCTGTAAACATTTTTATTTCTGCTGTAAAGTTAGACATTTTAAAACTGGGGCCTATTGGCATTGACTAGTGTCTGGAGCCAGCCTCAAGTGGACTTTAAAGGAACTTCAGTTTTTGACACTTCAGTGCTGGCTTCAATTTTCAGCCCTCTGACGCTTGGTCACCTCACATCATCTGTGTCTCGGCCAAAAAGTTGCTGCTAAACTCACCACAAAGACAACAGCCAACTGCCAATTAACGAGTATGTGCTGCATCTGCATGAGAGGAAATCATTCTGCATACTATCAGGCAGCAATAGTCAGTATTTGTCATAATAAAGGGAAACCGACAGGACATAGGGGGTATTTTACCATCAGTCTCCAATATCTCATATTAACATATGTATGAATTTGATTTATGTTCTACTACATCAGCCATCCATGTAGCCATAACCCTCTGTGCTCACCCATAATGCTGGCCTTGCCCAGGCTGGTGATGGACTCTCCATAGTGCCGTCGGGCCTGGGGCGGGGAGGTGCAGGGACTGGGGATGCTCTCTGAGTCTGAGACAGATGCCGTCTCCTTTGGGGGGTTAAGCAGTGTGGGCCGGATGTGATCATACGGTGTTGGGTTGCTGGTGTTGTACCTGCACATCACATCCACATCAACTTTAGGTCACTGAAGCATGTAGTCTCATTCTGTCTTCAGCTGTGATCTCATGAACCTGGGCATACTGCAGCCTCAATCAAAATTGACCTTTCGCTAAGCCAGCCCCTTTGTGATGGTCCGACAAGGTGTCTGAGTAAGCATGGAGCCCACACTGTAACTACCTGCACTCCCTGAAGAAATATTATCGTATTTGTGGAAAAGTGAATTAGTGATTCCGACAGACAGAGGGGTCTACAAAATGCGCTTTAAGGCTATATCCAGGATGTCAGACTCACTCATCAGCCAAAACAGGTTAAATAGACAAAGTGAACCACCAAACTGCTGGTGATCGTAAAAGTAGACAATGAATATAAAGGCAAACTTTGCCGATATGAACCAGCTGCGTGGCATAACAGTGTATGCAGATGAATGGTGTTTGGCTTCGCCCCCATGCTGCTGCCAGTCAAACAACGTTCATCTGCACACAATGCAATAACACACAGCTGATTCACTATCAGCAAAGTTTCCCTGCTTCTCTTCACTGATTCCTGTACAGATGGGTAGGTCTTTTTTCAGTGTTATAATCATTAAAAAACAGAAGCAGCATGTGTAAACATTCAGTAGCTAGCTAGCTAACCCTACACTTTTCAGGGTTTGATTCTGATTTTGGAACAGGGAAGAAATGTATATCTTTTACCAACCTCTCCAGGTAATGAATATCATTAATACACATGCCACAAGCACAACATTTAGCTTGAAATCCACAAAAGCAGCCTGAAAATGAAGGAAATCTGAAAAGATTGCGTGAGAGTCTATGGAGCACTGCTTTGGTGTTGTTGAGCCCTTCTTTGTGCTGGCCAGCGCTACGCTATGATTGGCCAGTCTGCATTGGAGCGACGGGACTTAGCAAAGGGTCAATAAGGTTACTGGTATATCATAGCAGACAGACTGTAACATGATGCTTATTACTATTTCAAGCTTATGATACTGTAATGAACTGTGTTTAACTCTTCATGCTCCTGCTTAACTGTTGAGTATCATTGTTCAGACAGTAGTCCAATTCAGATAAAATGACTGTTGAGTGAAGCGCTGAGATTTCCAGAGGTCAGTGAAGTAAACATGTTATTGACAGCTTAGATGCTGTGAAGCCTGTCAGTCATGTCAGCTACCTATGACAGTGAGCTGCAGGAGACAGTACACTTGTTATTGGCTGTTGTATTGCTGCTGCTGAAAGGGGATGTCAGTCTTGGGATGCAGGATAAGATAAGATAAGATAAGATACACTTTATCTTATCTTATAATAGTAGTATAGTAGTAGTATAGCAAGCAGCTAGTGCAGAGCTTATGACAGCTATTGCCCTGTTGGTTAGGGTCCACAGAAGCCTGTGTTCAGGTTCACAGCAACACCTCACCATCTGCTCATCGAAGGACAGTACAATACCATCACTCTTAGTGTAAACTGTTCAGAGGAACAAAATATTTCACAACAGACAGAACAGACAGAAACTGTGGATAATGTGAAACCATCACATCACAGCATACACTGCTGTGAGAAATTCACAGAAGAATTCCTTAATAACCAGCATATTATCTGTCAAATACAACCACTTACCAGTGGATTTGAACAGGCACAATGTTACTGTAGTGCTTTAAGATAAGAGGCTCCAATCTGTACGCCTGAAACAAAAAAATACAAATGCAAGAGCAGATCAGGGTTTGTCACAACATTACTTCCTCTAATTTTATTTTAACACATTTTATTTAAATGTAATTTTCCAGCTTGTCATCTAGTTTTTAAGTATTTGGTTGTGTAATCGAATACCAACACCACAAACTTGTATTGTTTTGTTTCTGTTTGTTAGCCACCACTAATCACTAAACATCTGGCAACAGGCTGATCAAAATAGTGGGTGATGATTTTGACCTAAGTGGGACAGTGATACATTCAGTTGTGGGTACTGTGGCTCACCACAGGATCTGTGGGGTGGAATATATTGAAGAGGCGTTTGCAGATAGTTGTGGGCAGGATGTGGTCCTGCACATTATTGTTTCCAGGCCGGGTCCCCCGCAACGCCAGGAAAACAGCGAGAGGAGAGCCCATGCAGAAGAAATTTTCTACCTGCAACATAGAGAACAGGCTCAATTCAACAGCAGAGTAAGAGACAGTCACCACTGAAGGGCTGCCAGCCCCTACCTACAGAGCTGCTCATTGGCCAGTTACATAGTACTGTGGTTGCACAGGACCACTGAAAATGAACATGTTGTAGTTTGAATCATGTGGTTTGTAGTTTAAATTAAAATCTTTGTTGTTTGAATCAGAAGGATTGAAGTACAACTCAGAGGGTTTGTCGTTTGAATCAGAGGGTCTGTAGTTTATCTCAGACAGTCCATGCCACCATGAAGTGACACAAATATACAATCAAAAGAATACTCAGTGCCAGTGTAATTACACTGATAGGGGTCCTAGTACACCTGAAACCTCTGCCACACCTGGAAAATTTCATCCCCTAACACTCATGGGGCATAGACTGTCAAACTCTTTTTCACCTACGTACAGTACAGGCCAAAAGTTTGGACACACCTTCTCATTCAATGCGTTTTCTTTATTTTCATGACTATTTACATTGTAGATTCTCACTGAAGGCATCAAAACTATGAATGAACACATGTGGAGTTATGTACTTAACAAAAAAAGGTGAAATAACTGAAAACATGTTTTATATTCTAGTTTCTTCAAAATAGCCACCCTTTGCTCTGATTACTGCTTTGCACACTCTTGGCATTCTCTCCATGAGCTTCAAGAGGTAGTCACCTGAAATGGTTTCCACTTCACAGGTGTGCCTTATCAGGGTTAATTAGTGGAATTTCTTGCTTTATCAATGGGGTTGGGACCATCAGTTGTGTTGTGCAGAAGTCAGGTTAATACACAGCCGACAGCCCTATTGGACAACTGTTAAAATTCATATTATGGCAAGAACCAATCAGCTAACTAAAGAAAAACGAGTGGCCATCATTACTTTAAGAAATGAAGGTCAGTCAGTCCGGAAAATTGCAAAAACTTTAAATGTGTCCCCAAGTGGAGTCGCAAAAACCATCAAGCGCTACAACGAAACTGGCACACATGAGGACCGACCCAGGAAAGGAAGACCAAGAGTCACCTCTGCTTCTGAGGATAAGTTCATCCGAGTCACCAGCCTCAGAAATCGCAAGTTAACAGCAGCTCAGATCAGAGACCAGATGAATGCCACACAGAGTTCTAGCAGCAGACCCATCTCTAGAACAACTGTTAAGAGGAGACTGCGCCAATCAGGCCTTCATGGTCAAATAGCTGCTAGGAAACCACTGCTAAGGAGAGGCAACAAGCAGAAGAGATTTGTTTGGGCCAAGAAACACAAGGAATGGACATTAGACCAGTGGAAATCTGTGCTTTGGTCTGATGAGTCCAAATTTGAGATCTTTGGTTCCAACCGCCGTGTCTTTGTGAGACGCAGAAAAGGTGAACGGATGGATTCCACATGCCTGGTTCCCACTGTGAAGCATGGAGGAGGAGGTGTGATGGTGTGGGGGTGTTTTGCTGGTGACACTGTTGGGGATTTATTCAAAATTGAAGGCACACTGAACCAGCATGGCTACCACAGCATCCTGCAGCGACATGCCATCCCATCCGGTTTGCGTTTAGTTGGACGATCATTTATTTTTCAACAGGACAATGACCCCAAACACACCTCCAGGCTGTGTAAGGGCTATTTGACCAAGAAGGAGAGTGATGGAGTGCTGCGGCAGATGACCTGGCCTCCACAGTCACCGGACCTGAACCCAATCGAGATGGTTTGGGGTGAGCTGGACCGCAGAGTGAAGGCAAAGGGGCCAACAAGTGCTAAACACCTCTGGGAACTCCTTCAAGACTGTTGGAAAACCATTTCAGGTGACTACCTCTTGAAGCTCATGGAGAGAATGCCAAGAGTGTGCAAAGCAGTAATCAGAGCAAAGGGTGGCTATTTTGAAGAAACTAGAATATAAAACATGTTTTCAGTTATTTCATCTTTTTTTGTTAAGTACATAACTCCACATGTGTTCATTCATAGTTTTGATGCCTTCAGTGAGAATCCACAATGTAAATAGTCATGAAAATAAAGAAAACGCATTGAATGAGAAGGTGTGTCCAAACTTTTGGCCTGTACTGTACTTCACCTGTAAGTCACATACCAGTCTGTTTAAAACTTAGACTCTGTAATTTTGTCTCCATAGCATCTCATTCAGTAAACTATGACAATCTTATTACTATTACACCCACTACAATCCCATCCCAACCACCCCCACCCTCAAAAGTTGGTCTGCTGAATGTGAGATCACTGTCAAACAAATCATTTATCTGTCAGGATTATATTCTGTCAAATAATCTAGACTGCTTCTTCATCACTGAGTCATGGCTTACCCCTAATGACACATCCCCTTTCACTGAAGCCACTCCCCCAGACGACTCTCACTTTCATCAACCAAGACTACTTGCACGTGGTGGGGTTGCTGATATTTACAGAAAAGGCCTCAAGTGCTCCATTACTTCAATGGCTCCTTTTTCATCTTTTGAATCTTTGGCCTTCATGATAGATGGCACCCCGCCCGTTTTCAGCCTGCCATACAGACCCCCTAAGCCAAATATCAATTTTATTAGTAAATTTTCTGATCTCCTTTCCCACATCCTTTCCCAGCATTCTCTGTAATTCCAACATCCACATTTGTTGTCCCCTTGATGCCATGACCCATGATTTTATAAATTTACTTGAATGTTTTGGTCCTCATGGTTAAATACCAGCAGACTGTCAAAACTGCAAAGCTCAATACTTCTATGATATTATTAACAAGAACTGTCAAAACCCCGGGGTACTTCATTAGTGTCTTAAACTCTGTCACCTCCTCCAGTTCCTCCTCCTGCTTAGAGGCATCTGTCTTTAAATGTGAAGAATTACTTAACTTTTTTAGAGACGAAATTCTCAATATCAGAACTAATATTATTCCATCTGTATATAGTTTATCAATCTCCTCTGAGAACACTGTAGCTCTAAATTCCTTTAACTCAATTACTTAACCAGAGCTCCATCATATTGTCTCTTCTATGAAGATCTCCACCTGTTCTCTTCATTATTCCAACTAAACTAAACTCTTCAAGGAAGTATATTTCATACATGCAGTTGTGCAGCCACTTCCTAAAAAGCATAATTTAGATCCCTCAGTCCTAAATAAGTACAGACCTATCTCCAAACTCCCTTTTCTTGCTAAAATACTTGAAAAAGTAGTTTTTTATTAACAATTGTCGCACTTGGTTTAAAACTGCATTTAAAAAAAAAATTCCAATCTGGTTTCAGAGTTTTTCACAGAACTGAATCAGCCTTACTAAGAACAACTAATAACCTCCTTCTAGCTGCTGACTGAAACCGTACGCTTGCTCTGAGATCTCAGTGCCGCCTTTGATACAGTGGATCACTCTATTCTCATTCACAGATTAAAGGAATGAGAGGGGTTGTACTTTGATTCAGATGGTTTGTAGTCTGAATAAGAGGGTTTGTTCTTTGAACTAGAGGGTTTGTAGTTTGAATCAGAGGTTTTTTGTTTTTGTCTTTTTTTTTGATTGATCTGTTTATTTAAGTGTCAAACACCATAAGTGGTGCCCAGCCCTCATGGGCTTATTAGACAATGAACAATAAATAATACATCAAATAATTCCACGATTACATCTATGATAACCACGTGACATAACATAAAAAAACCTCTGAGAATAGGGACACATACAAATAAAAATAGTTTGTTATACAGGGTACAAAACACTTTGTAGTTTGAATCAGAGGGTCTGTGGTTTCAAACAGAGGGTCTGTCATTTCAAATAGAGGGTCTGTAGTTTAAATCAAAGGTTGTTGTTTTTTTTATTCAAAGGGTTTTGATTTCTCTATATCTCGGACACATGCTGAACATGAAATGTCTGGCAGTAGCAGTTGACAGATACAGTACACTCAAACACTTGCAAACTTTACCTTGAATTTTAAGGCTGGCACAGCACAAGATGAGGTCTGCAGACCATGGAACTGATCCTCCAAGTCCCTCAACCTGAGATGATGGATATTATACAGAGATTACAAAGACTCCAATGCATTGTAGTTACAAGCTTTTTGGGCCGTCTTACATACAATGGGACTTGTTTTCCTAAAACCTTATGCAAGGGCAAATGCAAATGTAAAATAAATCAAACTTCACAGTTAATTCACTTCACTGTTACTTTATTATCCAAAAGTGAAATAAATTTGATCAGAGGTGTTACTCCCCTGCAGCAAACTACTGCAATTATAATGACTATTGGTGGGTGCAATGTACAAGAGAGGCTTAGTAGTAGGAACACATGACCAGCAGGGGGAGTAAGAATAAATATCTGAAATGACCAGTCACATGAGCTCCACTCATCCCCTCTCAGCAGACTGATGAAATGAATGGAGTAGACAGGCTGAGGCCTCTGAGAGACAGGGTAAAAAAAAGTTCAGGACACATTAGTGTTTACACTACAAAATATATATGGTAAAATGCATCCCAGACCATCTCTGCAAGTGGTTTGAGTGAGCAGATCACAAGTCTTGGTGGTCGTTTACACTTGAATTTGTTTTTCAATTGTGATTGGATCTCCCAAGATGCATGTTAATACCAGGTATAAGCACGCTCTATAGGCAGGATTTGAATAACTTTTAAGTATTGGTAGGCAATATATAGAATATAATCAATGTATCAGTGCTTGTTCCTTGTGGGTTGTGTAAAATGACTATATCACGAATATTGAGTGGGAAATGTCACATCATTTTAAAACCCTAAGCCTATTTTATAGGCCTCTGCTCGAAAATTGCATATCCATAATGAAATGAATATATCTCTGCAACCACAAGGTCTATTTGAATACTTTTGGTGTCATGGAAAAGGGAGACTCAACACTTGTGAGATTTGTTAAGATGTGTAAATATCAGTATATGTGTTATATGTGAAGAGTAAATGAAGATGGCACACAGCACAAATGAAACATTTTGAGGTTTGCCTAATAAAAAAAAAAAGCATTTTCAGGATGAGTATCCCTTTGGAATGATGCAGCTGCAGCTCTAAACCTCTATCACATCATAGTACAATATGTGAACATTATCTCTGCAAAGGTTGATTCTGATAAAATGAATAATACTATTATATATATATTATAATATACAATATTAGAGAGGTTTTAGTACAGAAAATTCAGGCGAGCTCTCCAAAATTGCACCATGTCTCCATGTGATTTTTGTCATGTACAATCCTATATCTTTCATTTTTTGTTTCTGTAAATCCCTACTGATGTTTAGAATAAACACATACAACTGTCCGTTTCGTTTTTTTCCTGTATTTCCCACTCCAAACTGACCAATACACACCTACTAAATTTGAAACTGAGTTTCTATTCTGACCTTTGGAGGCCCGTATCTCCGTGATGGCTGGGCCGATTTGAGTGATTGACACCTTGTTTGATTTGTTAGAGCCAATAGAATGACGCTATACCCACCAAAACTAGACTGACAGCACTGTAAGCCAATCAGAGTCAGCTGAACGCATTGTGGGGTGATGTCGGCTGCTGTGAGTGGTCATTGTTATGCTTCCTCCGGAACCTTTTTTTCAGTCCGGACTCATTTGAATGACGGACCACATCCAGTAAACGCGAATGAATCGTGATTCAATGGCAGAATGCGCTTTTCACGGCAAAAACAACAAGGTAAGAGAGATATTACAAAGAAAAGATTTCTGTTGTTGTTCTTTGGCCTCTAGCTCTCTGATGTTTTGTGGTAGAGTGATTTGGCGCATATGTGTGGAAACAGTGGAGTCTCAGCTTTCATTTGAGATGAATGGTGTGTGTTTTAAATAACGTGTGTTCGAGTTAGAGCCCGAAATATACCAAGTGGGTCGGGATATTGGTGCTGTATGGAGTTGTTGGAGTTAGTTGTTGTTGTTGTTTATTTAGTTGTTGTTGAGCTGTGTTTGGGGCATGTAAAAAGGGTTTTTACAGCCACGAGCCAACCAGCATGAGACTGGCTTTGGCTTTTCAGTTCTCTTGCTCTCACCTGAGGCTTCAAGTTCACAGCAAAAACATCAACACAAAAACAGATGTGGAATCAACTTCCTCACCTGTTCAAGAAAAATAACCCACGTTGTACCTGAGGCGTGTGAGTCTCAGCTGCTCCTGAAGGTGGTGCTCCTCATCACTTGCCCAGCGGACTTTTGTCTCTTCCAGGTCTGGTGCTTCTTGATGATGAAAGCGCACAGGGTCCCAGCCTGTCATGATGTCGAAGGTGATGACACAGCCCAGCGAGTGAGACACTATGGACACCTTCCCATTTTTCTCAAAGTCTGGATTTCGCGAGCAGAAGAGTGAGTACAGACGATTCAGCTCCAGAGTCAAACCCTTTGTAATCTACATACACACACAGACACACGACAACAGCACACATATACAAAGTTGTGAGGTGTTTGTCTTTGTCACTATTTTACAGTGTGTCAATAACATTTGGTTAAATTTGATCCCTTTGGGGGGGCGGTGAAACAGGTTTGTTTTAATGGACAGAAGAGTGATATGCAGTTAGTTAAAACATTGGTAAAACTCTGCATTTCCTCCATCAGCTTCTGTTTCCATGGTAACAGACTCTACCTGTAAAAACTGTCCACGAGTGTCAAGTGTTCACATCTCTAACTTTAACCTCTCTCTGATTGGCTAAAAGTCTGGCTGAGCAGTCAGCCAGGGACATCTACCCAAACATGGAAAAAGAAAAGGAAGAGAGGTGAAACTAAACAAGACAAACGGGAAACAGAATTCTTTCAAAGAAAAGAGGGGACAATAAAAATATTCAACTCACTGATGGAGAAAAGAAGAAGATGAAACTGGACTGGGGGGTTAAAAGAGATGTTTCATCCTTCAGAGTCTTGATTAATCGTCAATTCTTTAACACTCAGACCAAAATTTAGTCCAATCTCGCCATGTTGGATTAAAGTACTTTAGCTAGGATTTAGTTGTGCCTGAGGGACATTGATGCAGCCTCCTGGGACTAATGCTCCAGAACTGCCAGCAGCAAAGTGCGGAAACACAGCCGTGAAGAGAGGAGACAGAACGAGACTAAACTCCAGGCTGGGTATGTTCCTTAAAGGGAACTATAAAGCTGTAGTGCAGGATACTCTCAGCCTCACCTCATCTCTGTACAGAGGGCTGGTGTAGTACATGATGTCCATGGCGCTGCTGTTCAGCATGTCTCTGAGACCTCGCACTTTGTCTGGGGTGATGGAGTCCACCGTGTCTGCAGAGAGAACATACAAATATATCCAACACAACTGTTAAACACTGACAGAGAAAAATCTCTTATTTTTAATTCTGTTTCATATTCTAGTAAAAAAAACCTGTGATTCTGGACCAAGATACAGTAAATAAATATTAAAAGACGTACATTCTCCCAAGCTTCCGGTCAACAGTTTTTAGCAGTTAGCACAAAGTTAAACTGTTGCCGCTGTGCCTTTAAACATGATAATTCATTCACTTTGAGCTGGACACAAACTACCACTCTCAAGTTGATAAATTAATATTAGTAGTGAGTCACAGTGGTGCTCCATGGTTGCAAAATACAATTAGATAGTAGCACTATGGAGCCCTGCAGATACAGAACACACACACTATGCCTGCTTATGCTATCATTAAACTCATTAAGTTAAAGGGCTCTAGTTTCGCAGACCGGGCGAGGCAGGGGCGCCAGCGCACCTGCGCTTCGCCAGCTGGGTGTGGCCAGGCGGATTTTGCAAGTTTGGCACACCGTGCGCGCTGGCGCATCTACTCCTCTTTCCCACCTCCGTCCCTCTTACCTGCGCAAGTCGGAAAGAGGGAGGAGAGAAGGCGTGGAGTGGGTTTTACAAAGCCCATTCACATGAGAGTTTACTCAATTCGCCATGGCGGAAGAGATCAGCAGTGTCAGACGGCCAAACTTCTCCCAGGAGGAAACTGATGTTTTGGTCTGGGAGGTCCAAGCTTGCAGTGTCCGAATATACGGAACTGCAAGCAGACCTCCACGGGCTGATGATGCAAAGGTAGCCTGGGAGGAGGTCACCACAATTGTAAATCAATGTTGCCTGGATACACTGAGAACTGTTGCCCAGTGCAAAAAAACGGTTCAATGATGTTAGAAGAAGGGCCAAACAAAAGCTCTCTGAGCACAGGAGGCAGACAGGGGCAACAGGGGTTGGCCCCTCCACCAGTGTGCCCCTCAGCTCAGCAGAGGACATTGCATCCTCCATGCTGTCCTCTGTCAGCATCGAGGACTTTGGTGGGATAGAGGTTGGGACAGGTAAGACAAACATATTTCTCTACAAAGAAAGATATTTGGTGACATGTTTAAACCCAGTGCAACAAATGAGTTGTGTGCACAGATCACAAATACCACGCACAACGAGGATGAAATCAGAACCACCTGTGCGTAAAGCTGTGCCAAGCTCCGTGGCCTGGCCCTAATGTTTGCCTGTAAAATGAACTTGTCTTTCCCAATTGAATTGTGATAATTTTGGCATGTACATTACAAAATCAAAGATGTGAAAACTTTTGATAAAGTTTATTTTCAATAACCAGTTTCTGTGAACAAATGTTTATTTAAAAAAAAAAAAATAAAAAAAAAAAAAGAAGCTTTTAGAACATAAAACTGATCATCTTGTAAGCTCCACAAGCCACGCCGCAGCAGCAGCAGGAGGAGGAGGAGCCAGGCGAGCCGGCCGCACAGCCAGGGGCACAGCCACAGGACCAGCCCTTCCTGGACATTCAGGTGTGTGTGTGTGTGGGGGGGGAGGTTCAGGATGCTGGAGAGGGAGCTGGGCTCTCTAACCTCCCGGGTCCAGGGGTCAGAGGCCCAGCTCCAAGGAGTGGAAGACCGGCTACGGAAGACCGGGGGGTCAAACTGAATGAATGAATCAATCAATCAATTTTATTTATAAAGCCCAATATCACAAATCACAATTTGCCTCACAGGGCTTTACAGCATACGACATCCCTCTGTCCTTTGGACCCTCACAGCAGATAAGAAAAAACTCCCCAAAAAAACCCCTTTAACAGGGGAAAAAAACGGTAGAAACCTCAGGAAGAGCAACTGAGGAGGGATCCCTCTTCCAGGACGGACAGACATGCAATAGATGTCGTACAGAACAGATCAGCATAATAAATTAGCAGTAATCCGTATGACACAATGAGACAGAAAGAGAGACAGAGAGAGATGCAGGACAGACGGTAATGACAGTAGCTTACAACAACATTAATGAAAGTAATAATATTATAATTATAGTTCTGGCTGCTGTGATACAATATGTTGAAAGTATATATTAATATCTGACAGTATACATATGTGACAATAATCATATGTGTATAATAACAGTAGAAGTATGACTAATGATGACAGCAGCAGCAGGAGGCATCTGGCAGGACCACGGCAGCAGCACAACCACACACGTCACGCTATCCAGGCACCACTGCAATATGAGTTAACCTGAGAGACAGTGGAGCACAAAGGCTCCGGAGTAGAAGCCGAGTTAGTGACATCCAGAATGGCCGAGTTAGCAAGATGCAGTAATAGGATACGAGAGAGAGAGAGAGAGAGAGAGAGAGAGAGAGAGAGAGAGAGAGAGAGAGACAGACAAGGAGAGAAGGTGCCCGGTGTATTATAGGGGGTCCTCCGGCAGACTAGGCCTAAGTCAGCCTAACTAGGGGCTGGTACAAGGCAAGCCTGAGCCAGCCCTAACTATAAGCTTTATCAAAGAGGAAAGTCTTAAGTCTAGTCTTAAATGTGGAAACGGTGTCTGCCTCCCGGACTGTAACAGGAAGATGATTCCACAGGAGAGGAGCCTGATAGCTGAAGGCTCTGGCTCCTGATCTACTTTTGGAGACTTTAGGGACCACGAGTAACCCTGCGTTCTCAGAGCGCAGTGTTCTGGTGGGATAATATGGCACTATGAGCTCTCTAAGATATGACGGATCTTGACCATTTAGAGCTTTATAAGTTAACAGTAGAATTTTAAATTTAATTCTGGATTTTACAGGGAGCCAGTGCAGAGAAGCTAAAACTGGAGAAATATGATCTCGTTTCTTAGTTCCTGTTAGTACACGTGCTGCTGCATTCTGAATTAGCTGGAGAGTTTTTAAGGACTTACTAGAGCTACCTGATAATAGAGAGTTACAGTAATCCAGCCTAGAGGTAACAAAAGCGTGGACCAATTTTTCTGCATCTTTTCGGGTCAGGATAGGCCTAATTTTCGCAATATTACACAGATGAAAAAATGCAGTCCGTGAGGTTTGTTTTAAATGAGAATTAAAAGACAAATCTTGATCAAATGTTACGCCGAGGTTTCTCACGGTAGTGCTAGAGGCCAGAGCAATGCCATCTAGAGAAACTATGTCATCAGATAAAGAGTCTCTGAGTTGTTTGGGGCCAAGAACAATAACTTCAGTTTTGTCTAAATTTAACATCAGGAAATTGGTGCTCATCCAGGTTTTTATGTCTTTAAGGCAATTATGAAGTTTAGTTAATTGATTACTTTCTTCTGGCTTCATAGATAAATACAACTGTGTATCATCCACATAACAATGGAAATTTACAGAGTGATTTCTAATGATGTTACCTAAAGGAAGCATATATAGAGTAAATAGGATTGGTCCGAGCACAGAACCTTGCGGAACTCCAAAACAAACTTTAGTACGTAAGGATGATTCATTATGAACGTGAACAAACTGAAAATGATCAGATAAATAAGATTTAAACCAGCTTAGTACAGAACCTTTTAGGCCAATTAAGTGTTCGAGTCTCTGTAGCAGAATTTGATGGTCAATAGTGTCAAACGCTGCACTAAGATCTAATAAAACAAGTACAGAGACGAGTCCTTTGTCTGAAGCAATCAGAAGGTCATTTGTAATTTTAACTAGTGCTGTCTCAGTGCTATGATGCACTCTAAATCCTGACTGAAATTCCTCAAATAAATTATTATCATGGAGAAAATCACACAGCTGGTCTGCGACTACTTTCTCAAGGATCTTTGAAAGAAAGGGAAGATTAGATATTGGTCTATAGTTGGCTAACACCTCTGGATCCAGGGTAGGCTTTTTTAGGAGAGGTTTAATTACAGCTACCTTGAAAGACTGTGGTACATAGCATGTTAATAAGGATATATTGATCATATCTAATATATGAGTGTTAACTGACCTTAAGTGACCTTAAGTAGCCTAGTTGGGATGGGGTCTAAGAGACACGTTGATGATTTAGATGAAGAAATCACTGCGGTCAATTCTTGAAGAGAAATTGGGGAGAAGCAATCTAAATATATATTAGGTCTTACAGCTGTGTTTGAGGTTAGATAGGTACTATCTGAGAACAGGAGGTCATGAATTTTGCCTCTAATAGTTAGAATTTTGTCATTAAAAAAGCTCATAAAATCATTACTGCTAAGGGCTAAAGGAATACAAGGCTCAATAGAGCTCTGACTCTCAGTCAGCCTGACTACAGTGCTGAAAAGAAAGCTGGGGTTCTTGTTTTCTTCTGTTAGTGCTGAGTAATAGTTTGCTCTGGCATTGCGGAGGCCCCTCTTATACGTTTTGAGACTGTCTGCCCAGATTAAACGAGATTCTTCCAGTTTGGTTAAATGTTGAAATAATTTGTTTTGGGTGATTTGTTGTAGCCTATATTTAATGTGATTGAGTAAATTTACACCATAAATGTGTGAATGGATGTACAGGGAAATACTCACATTTAAGGACAGAGCTGTGCAGCCAGGTAGTCTCTCCTTTCCTGTGCGCCCTGATGCTCTTCCTGCTGATTCGGCACATGCAGTTCGGACTCCCTCTGTCGTAAGTCCTGTAATGTCTCCTCCTTGAGGTCAAAGTGGCATCCACGGTGTGTAGTTATGTTGTGTATAACGCAACATGCCTCGAAGAATGCACTGACTTTCCGGGGGCTGTATGTTAATGAACCACCTGAACGGTCAACACATCCAAAACGCATTTTGATCTGGCCAAAAGTGTGTTCGATGAGTGACCGAGCACTACTGAAAACACTGTTAAAATCATGCTGCCTTCTTGTTGTGGGTGTAATGTACGGCGTTATCAGCCACGTTTTCAGTGGATAGCTGTTGTCACCTAGCATCCACCAATCCAGAGGGGGGTCCCCCTGAAAGACTATAGGGATGACAGAATTTGCCAGGATGAACGAGTCATGAGCGGACCCATAAAAATTAGCATACACATGTGTCACCAGGCAATTCGAGTCACAAATCACCTGGGGCC